TTCTTTCTTTCTTTCTTTCTTTCTTTCTTTCTTTTTCTTTCTTTCTTTCTTTCTTTCTTTTTCTCTTTGAGATGGAGTTTCACTCTTGTTGCCCAGGCTGGGGTGCCATGATGCAATCTCGGCTCACTGCAACCTCTGCCTCCTGAGTTCAAGCTGTTCTCCTGTCTCAACCTTCGAGTAGCTGGAATTATAGACACATTCCACCAAGCCCACCTAATTTTTGTATTTTTTTATTTTCTAAAAAATAATATATTGATGGTTTTAACCTCTAAATTTAAATTTTCTTTTTCTATAGAAAAAAACATACACACACATAGACAGTTTTTACAGTAGTTTCACACATACAAGAAAATGATGACAAGTATATTTTAAAACCATAGTTACTTTAAAATGTAGTTATGACAAAAATCATAAAATGTTTACAATTAACTTTTAGTTTGCTCTAATACCTTAGGTATTGCAAAAATAATGTACAGAACAATACTACACACTAAAATCAAAATTATAACAAAGTTTCAATAAGGATATGAATACATAAATTTCTTTAACTATCACATTAACAGTACATAATAGCCACCTTTTACTTGTTTTTCCATGTTCATTACCAAAAGAAATTGGGTAAATACTAATTATTTGATTTAGAAGTATCTAAAAGCTTACTCCCCAAATATGTCATTTTTACTGATGGTCCACTTCAGTAACCTATAGTTACCAGAGCATTTTTGTATTTTTAGTAGAGATAGGGTTTCATCATATTGGTCAGGCTGGTCTCGAACTCCTGACCTCAGATAATCCACCTGCCTCAGCCCCCCAAAGGGTTGGGATTACAGGCGTGAGCCACTGCACCTGGCCAAGCTCAGTTTCTTTACTTATTAGCTGCATGGTCTTTGGGAAGTTGTTGAGCTGCCCTGAGCATCTATGAAACAGAGATTATAATAGTACTTGCCTCTGAAGATTGCTGTGAGTATTAAATGAGATGATATGTATAAAGTGCTGTGCAGAGTGCCTGGCTCATAGCAAGCATTCAATAGATTTTAACCTCTATTAATAGTAACATAAATATTTTGTTTCATCTCATTTAATACAGCAATTTGGAGAGTAAATTACATGTGTGGAGACATATAGTCAAGATTAGTACTATTTTTGTATCCAATTTTTGCTTCTGAATAGAGAATACAAGACAGAAACAATCAAAAATAATAAATACATAGAGATAAATACTATTATTACAAGGCAAAGTCTTCCCAGAAGTAATTAATTGCAAAACGAAGTGACATGAGTTTTCCTCCTTTCTCTTTAAGCTCCCACAAGAGGCTATAAAATGCTTCAAAATACTCCATCATATTAGCCCCAGAAAAAAATTGAAGAAAAAAAACCTTTGGACAATATAGTCTATATGGAGTCCCCTGGGCAATTCCTGGCACCCAAAAGGTGTTGAATGTAAGTTGAATTGTCTCTTTATGTAAATGTTTATATTCTTCTCTTCCCCAAATACCCAATATCTCCAAAGCAGGCTTGTCAACCCCAAGGTCTGAGTAATGCCAAAAAAGAAAAAAAAAAATCTCTCTTTGTAGGGGTAAGTTACAGCATTCATTTGCACATAATTTGTATTAATAATAAAGCATCTAGAAATACGTGCTTTTAAGGGCTGATTTTAAAATGTCATACAGTTAAACCTCTGGAAGCTGTGAGTTTTTTTTGAAAAATGATTGTGGCCTGAATGATAATGAGTGTCACTGGCAACCAAATAACTTAGCTCTTGGAAGAAAGACTTATGATGAGAAAAATCACGATTTAGTTCTATGGTGCAGAGATGCTACTGTGTAAGCTGGTCAGTTGCTAATTCAACATGAGTTCCCTGAGGCCTGGGGATGCAGAGCAACCTGCATCTGGCACTGGAGGCAGCCAGTGAAGTGTGGGATAGAACCCTGTTCAGGTGTTCAGGTTCCCATCGGAAAGACAACACATACACTCACAAGTTAGCAAAATTACATTGTCCAAGGTCAATAAAAATTCTGTAATGGGGAATTACAATGTAGAATGCAATTCAGGCCAGATGAGAGGCATAAGCAGTAACTTCTTTGAGTTATAGGGACAAGAAGGCACTGAGGAACGCAAAGGCCAGGGAAGGCTTCATGGAAGAGGTGAGATCTTGAGCTGACACTCAGTGGATGCTCAGCAGCAGGAGATGCATGAAAGAGCTGAGTTGCCAGGGCCATGAGAAGAGATTGCTGCTATATAAGGGGAGCAGAAAAAAGAATGTTCTGCATTTGGGAGACCTACTGGGGCCTCTCTTAGTATTATCATACTATGGCTTGATAAAATTTGGTAAGTAGGGGCCTAGACTCCTCAGGGATGGTGGTTTTGATAGCCCCTCCAGGAAAGTCACCTACATTGACAGGGGCACTAGCCAAAGCTTCCTGGGGAATCTAAAACAGTGTCAGAGAAGGGGGATGATGACCATGACTTATGACCTCAGGTCTAAATGCTGCAACAGATTACTTTATTCCACGAACTTTTCCATTTATAAATTTTCTCCCAGAAATTGTAACTAACCAGAAAATGTAAGAATCTGTGACAGATGAGACAAACTTAACGTGCCCTCCCAGAGTATTTCAGGGCAGTGTTTCCCATGTCTGATTGGCTATTGGGAATACAATAACCCAGCTCCTTTGTCTTAAGACATGACCACTCCTAGGGTGTATTTTATACTTTAGAGCCTTCTGCAGAACAGGCTTCAGCTGGAGCGTCCTGATAAATTATACTTCTGCTTGGGTTCTTTCCTTTCCTCTCCTGCTTCCTGTCCCCCCTTCATGTAAGGGAACATCCTTAATATATCACTTATACTGGGAACCCCACATCAGGGTCTGCTTCTGGACCCACAAGAAACATGCATTGGATGTGGATTGAGCGAAGGTTTAAAGGATAGAGTAAGCATGTTTAATTTGCTTGGGGTGACTCTTCTCATTTAGGTAGAAAAAGAGTGACTGAACATTCTGGGAATGAGTTTGGAAATCCAGTGATTGGATGGTGTTTTTCAGAAACTTAATGAAGCTAATCAAATTCATAATTTTCTTTTATTTGCCTGCCTATCAGCTGAGACAGCTTATTACACATGCAACAGCTTAGATTCATCTGAAATGTAATAAAGTCTGTCTTCTTTGTGCTACAAGAACCCATGACTTTCTACGTAGGGGCTCCATCTGCCGTGGTAATATGCTTGACCTGATGTCAAGTGGGCTGAGACACAGGGAATTAGTATCCTCAGGGCAGCTCTCAACTAACAACCAATAAGAAGTGTTATATTAAATATTTCAGATTTCTCACTGCTCAGAGAGAAATCTGAGGCTGTTCTACT